AGTTTGAGAGTTTAGAACTACGAAATGATGAGCACCTGACTCTTTACGTAAACTCACAATGAGGTTAAGTAACAAATGGTATTAGGTAGCGACAGAATAAAGTAATGTTATGGACGAAAAGGAAAAGAGCTTTCGTCGTTGTTCAATGCCTGAGGAATGTGCCAAGCATCCGACTCTATTCGTAGCACTGTGAAGGTAAATAAATGCATATCTCGCCTAATTAGTGGGAGCTTGAACAAATTTGCTGACACAGGAATGAAGGCTTGGTGAACCTGAGGCGCGAGGTGAGGGAGGATGCGAGGTCAAACCAACGGCCATACGTGTTTTGCAAGGCAGCTCTAACCACCGCGCTAGACCCGAGAAATAGTAGAATTGTAACAAAGAACTTTAAATGAATGAAAAATAAAGCGTTCGCATTAAGAGCATTAGGAATGATAGGTGCCATGGCAAAAGTGTGGTGTTTCTTGCGTCCCACATATAAGTGGCGCTCAATGAGTGACTTTAGCAGATACAATAAAGGATAAAGGACAAAACTCTCGGCGTTCATCAATCCCTGAGGGATACGTCATGCATTCGACTTTATTATGAATCGTTCAGAGCTGATTTAATGCATACCTGGCCTTTACAATGACTCGCGGTGGCCTACTGATGTATTGAGCTAGTGCTGCTACCCTCCCAGAAAAGTGTGGTACCAACTCGCCAACCCCGGAAGTATGGAAGGCTTGGTGGGCCATATAGCAGATAGAGCGAATAAAAATAAGGACTAGTGTCAACTTGAGTTGCTCAATAAGTAAACTAGATCGTAGATGATGCATCTGGCATTTGTAGAATTCAAAATTCGTTGTTATAACAATTGCCGAATTCGTTCTGCTTGTAGCCGCACTTCATACTACTGTATAACAGCATCACATTTCGTTGCTAGGATAAATGAGACAAGAATTTTCGCCCCTTCTTGTTTTATCATATTTCTTGGGCGCATGGATTCTACCGAAGTAACCAGGAAGTGCCTGGAAATGCTTTGCAGATTGTACAGAACAAATGTGCTTTCAATTATTCCTAACGGCGTTTAATGAAGTTGATTGCACAACGCAACTCTAAGTATCGATCAAGCTTAAGATTCTTTATCCTTTAAACTTCTTATAAGGTAAAATAGTTACAAAAAGGAATAAGCTCTTGGCGCTGATTAATCCCTTAGCGACACACCAAGCATTGTATTTCATAAGCATCGTTTGGAGGTGATTGAATGTATATCTGGCCTGTGCAATGACTCGCAGTGACCTATGTATCGAGCCAATGCTGTTAGCCTCTCACACAAGTCTGGTACCAATTTGTCGACCCGGTGAGATGGAATGCTTGGTGAGCCTGGAAGCGGAGATCGATTCCATGTGTCTTGAAGGGCGGGCACCTCCGACCACTACGCCACAAGCGCCCTATTAGGTGAAATAGTTATCATATGATTCAAAAGACCGACTTTCTATAAACCTCGGCATAAATATTTGACATATTTATTTATGTGATCTTATAAACTGATCTCTTTGAGCTGATGCGAGGTTGGCAAATGTTTTGTTCTCGTTGTTGTTGTTGGTGTTGTTCGTCCATGGCTAACGTTTCGGCGATTTCGCCTACCTCAGAACAGTGCTACTACGAGTGGAACTGTTAAGTAAAGGTTATCATATGAAATCTAAGGCCATAACAAAGATACAGAAATGATCCGAAACGCTACCAAATACTTATGCAGATTTGTGGGCACGAGAGGCAGCATATTGATTTCAATGCGCACTTTCTTCGCTCGTTCCCTGTCGTACAAAAGCTTTTCGGCACATTCACAATCGATCAGATGTGATGATAAATCATTTAGAAGACTTCTATGTGTCTGCAGTATATAGAAGTCATATGCGTTAAGAGGGGCGGGTATGGCGCGATGGTCGGAGGCCCTCTGCAACACACAACTGGAATCGATCCTCGCAGCCATGGCCCGCCGAGCCTTCCATCCGTCCGGAGTCGGCAAATTGGTACCAGACTTGTCTGGAAGGATAGCGGCACTGGGTCGTTATATCAATAGGCCACCGCGAGCCACCACCGCCACCCGAGTCATCGTAAAGCTCAAATGTGCATTCGATCACCTCTAAACGACTTTTAATGAAGTCGAATGCATGGAGCATCCCTCAGGGATTGATCAACGCCAAGAGGCTTATCCTTATCCTTATCCCCACTCGTATTCCTAAAACAGGGCGCATGTGGCGCAGTGGTCGGAGGAGCCTTGTAACAACACGTGGAATCTATACCCGTGCCCATGGTCCACCAAGCCTTCCATTCTCCGGAGTCGGAAAATTGGTACCTGACTTGTCTGGAAGGGCAGCACTGGCTCGTTATATCAGTAGGCCACCGCGAGTCATTGTAAAGCCCAGATGTGTATCCACTCACTTCTAAACGACGTTTAATGAAGCCGAATGCATGGCGCATCCCTCAGGGATTGATCAACGCCGAGAGCTTTATCCTTTTTTATCCCCATAAAATTTTACTAATGTTAGAACATTGTACTCAAAAACGCCTGTTTAGTAAAACACAACTTATACCATTAGTATCATTGCAACACTCTGCAATTTACCCATCTCGCATAGAATTTTAAGCACAGAAAACACTCCGAACATGGAACACATAGTAGCTACCTAGAGTCCATTCTTACATCGAACTCATTGTCCTTACCTACAATTATACAGAATATACAATTCGTACCAAAACTTACAACTCTTTCTTAACAATTCTACGTCCTGCATATAAAGTACATTTTGGATGACCGCTATTAAAACATTCTAAACAGAAATGCTTTTTACATTGACTACATCTAGTGCGAACCTGTTTAGCATATTTTGTGGCAAATCTGGAATCTCCTTGCTTTGTCAACTTCCTATAACACCCAACACAACGTCTCCACCTTTTTGGACCGGTTGCAACTTTTTCCAAAACACGGCTAGTTGATGGCGGAGGATAACTATTGACTCGTAAGTATCTCAGATATACTTCCCACTTGAATTCGTTGAATGGAATTTTTTGCACGTAGTCGCAATATATTCTCCACGCGTTAACCAAACATACCTGTGTGACCAAGTAGAAGAACAGCCGTACATACCTAAACTATAATAAAAATAAATATATGAAAATAAAAATAATGAGGAAACAAAATGTGCGCACCATTTACTGGTTTTCGTCACATATGGAGAGTAGCTTGTCATCTGGTCGCTAGTGTCCATATACAACTTCCGCCTCTTGTAGCTCTGAACCACTTCCGGTTTTAACGTGTTTGGAACGAGGGACGTGTCATACGCTGTAGATAAAATTATGACGTCTCTCCTATCTTTCCATTTGAGAACCATCACGCCGTTCCCATTCTGCTTGGCTATCCACTGCCCTCTGCTCAGTTTCCGCCGGATGATGTCCTTAGGAAGACCGATCCGGTTTTTGTTGCACATGCCAGTCAAGTATGTATTCCTCTGCAACAGACCCTCCGCTAGGGAGACACTTGTGTACCAATTATCAGTGTAGAGGTTTCTGCCTTCATCCAGTAAATCGTCCATTAGTGACATCACTACTGTCTCAGCGAGGTGTCCTGTCCGGGTGCGATCTTTGCCTGCATACGCTAACACCTTATAGGTATGCCCTCGCTCACTGCATAGTTTGAAAAGCTTCAATCCATATCTGAGCCTTTTATGGGGGATATACTGGCGGAATACAACTCTTCCTCTAAATGGCATCGATCTGTTAATGTAAACCTCTCCACCAGGTCTACATACGGCCTTGCAATTCCTATTGATAAGTGCTATCAGCTGGTTAACCTTGAATAACCTATCAGTTCCATCGTAATTTGAATTGTCCGCTAAGTGTAGGTGAGCTAAAATCTTTTCGAATCTCTCTCTTGACATTACATCTGGCCCAATAGGACATTTTCCAAAAGCTGGATTACTGCTCCAATAATCTCTCAAGCGTGGCAGTTGGACAATTCCCATTTGAAGGCACAATCCAATGAATTTTTTCATATCTTCGACGGTTATCGGTTCCCACATATGATTCTTCTGATATGCATAAGTATTCGTCTCTTTTACAATCAATTCCCATACGTCGACCATGAATAGCTCGTAGAAATCGACTGGATCCTTGCATGCAGACACAATACTTTTTTGAACACCTAGTTGACTTTCATCAAAGGGTATACTATCACGAGCCACTATCATGCTTGACCACTCATTGCTCATCTCATCATTATCACAACCATCTCGTTCTTCATCATCTTCCGACTCACTGTTTCCAGAGTCATCATATGTGCGGAATATAGTGGATTCCATGTTATCATCTGCATCATCATCAACCTCTTCATAATCACTGTTTACAAGGAGTTTATCGAACAAAGGCTCAAAATCATCATTCACTGACATGACGCTTCTGAAATTTCAATTCCCACGAACGGGTACGAAATAGTAATAAACGAAAGGCTTTGATGAAACAGCAAAAGAACACACAAAAGATAAAACGCACAAAAAGAAAAGAAAGAACCCTAGGAACGAAAGGAAGACAGAAGAAAGACCGGTACCTTATACAGCACTACAACCACGACAAAAGCCGATAACATGACGGTTAGATGCCCACAGAAACCAAGTTACTGGCAAGTAACTGACAATGTTATCATGTGATGCCCTTCACCATGAGCATGGTCCTAGTTCGATTCCGCTCCGGGCCAACCAAGTCTCTCATATCTCCGGTGTCGGAAAATTGGTACCGGACTTGTCGGAAAAAAACCACTATCTGCAATCCAATTGGGAATACGCCAGCGTGGAATCGCACGAGCTGTAAGCAACCGCGAACTAACGTTCGAACTTGCAAAGCAATGCAGACAGGCGATAAAAGAAGATCTTAAAGAGAAAAGAGCAGTAGTAATCGTCGAAGCTGCAGAAGTTGAGAAAAGCATTTGGAACGCCTGCCGAAGCTTCACTAATTACAAAACCAGGATGATTGCTCTCCGACGCCCAAACCGAACAGTTCCAGCGTACAGAAAGGCAATGGCGAAAATCATTCACGAATACTACTCGGATCTCTTCGATAGCCACGTCCACCTTCCGCCATATGAAATAAAGGAGGATGGATATGTTATACCACCGGTTCTCCCATCCGAAATCCGACATGCCATTTCGTCGGTGAAAAATCGCGCAGCACCAAGTACGAACAGGATAAGACCAGAATGCCTGAAGAACCTTCCGCCAGTCCTCGTAAACACACTGGCTCGGTTCTTCACACCTTACCTGTCTGAATACAAGGTCCCCTATTCAGTGGAAGACCAGCAAGATGTCGTCAACAAAATTTTTATTTGAGTCATCCTAAACAGGATTGGCAGAACAGTGGACAAAGGACAGCCAAGGGAGCAAGCAGGATTTTGAAAAGGATTTAGTACGACGGACCACATCCACATGGTAACAAGGCTCACTGAAGAATCGCGAGAGTACAAAAGACCTCTCTGCCTCACTTTCATCGATTTAAAGATGACCTTCGACTAGCCCTTGGTAGTCAGGAAGTCCCTACCCAGTACGTAAAGATTCTTCGTGAGTTGTACAAAAATTTTACAACCAAGACATCACCATTCTACAACAATATTAACATTGACCTCAAAAGAGGAGTTAGGCAACGCGATACTGTCTCGCCAAAATTATATACCGCCACCGTCCAGAACCTCACGCAAACACTTTAACGGAATAATATGGGAGTGAAAATCGATGGCCGGCAGTTGCATCACCTTCGCTTTGCTGATGACATCGTCCTTATAACACCAAACATTAGCCAAGCGGAACGCATGCTTGACAACTTTGATAAAGCTTGTGGAAAGATTGATCTTAGATTAAATCCCACAAAAACGATGTTCATGAGGAACCGATTGGTCTCCTATGCCTCATTCACGCTCAACGGAACGAATATCTCCGAATGCTTCAGTTATGTCTATCTAGGTCGGGAAATCAATATGATGACTTAGCTCCAGGGCTGAGGAGAAGGAAACGAGCGGCTTAGAGAGTTTTCAAGAGCAACAGGGATGTAGGGAAGAGGACAAAGAACACCCGATTCCGTGCCCACCTTTTCGACTCAACGGTACTTCCTGCCCTAACGTATGCGTCAGAAACCTTGCCGCTGCCTAAGGAGGATGAAAGATCACTCAGCGTTATCGAATGCGCAGTCGTGAGGACGATGCTAGGAGTATCCCGTTTCACACAAGTAAGGGAAGGGATCCGAAGCTCCGACCTGTGTCAACGATCAAAAATCAAAGATGTCGTTCTGTACACCAAACAGTCGAGGATAAGGTGGGCCGGACACATAAGGCGTATGAATGACAACCGATGGAAAAGAGCCGTTAGTGACTGGATTCCTTGAGAAGATGAGCTGCAGGAAGACATGGACAGAGTTCTTCACGAAAAGCATAGAAGAAAAATATGATGCTCGACGAGTCCCTAGAGCGAGCAGAACCTGCTGGGCTATTCTTGCACGCGACAGGGAAAAATGAAAGATCTACTGGCGCTCGCTCGAGTCACTCGACGATCAACGGGACTACAGGTGATACAGGTGAACATGGAAAAGCAAATGAATTACATTTCAAATGTCGTACAGAAATGCGTGGAACGACTAGTGACTGTTGCTAGGTGGTGAACGAGTTTTTGTGCTTTCAACATGCACAAAAGTAGGATGTGGTCGAGGAACGTGAAAACAGAAGAAAACAGTGGGTACGTATGGTATACAAAACAGAAAGCTAGAAAAACATGGAAAATACACGAAGCAATCGAGTTATGGAGCGGAAACGCAAAAGAGCGGTAGGCGGTGCGGTTTGCTCGGTAGCTGTGGCCGATACATATTGATTCCAATGCGCATGGGATGGGCCAAGGTTGTGCGCGTTGATTTCAATATACACGTTGAGAGGCATCACGAGCGCTGCATATTGATTTCGATACGAACCCTCTCGCTGGCGCCTTCCTTTTTCGTGTAGAGCATCTTTGCCACAGTTTTTGTAATCGATCAGTGGCTTGTTCAAAAATAAATATTGAATAAGAGTGGCTGAAGATGATCTTATTCCGAAATGTGTAAACGAAGATCACTTTTCGAACAAGTTCAATGACCGGTAATTTGACTGGCAATTGATGATTTTTAAACTCTAATCGCTATAATCATGGGAATCGAATCATAGTTGTCTTATGGAATGAGTAAAAAGTGCAGATATAGACTCATTACATAAGTTGTAAAACCCTTACATAATCACTATGGTAATTGCTGATCGCAGAGTTCGATTGAACTAGTTGAGAGACAGGCAAAATGGAGGACCCGCATGGTGTGATGGTGAACGCGTTACTCCCCGGAAAGGGTAATAACGCGTTCGTTCCCCAGCGCGGACACCTGCGGTCTGGAGTTTTGCAAATATCTCAGCACCATTGTGTTGTATTTCGTATAATACCCAGCCATAAAAATTTGTAGTAAGCACCAAATAAAAAGTTAATATTGCAACTTTCAAATATTTGTAAAATTCAGATCAGTGTGGTTGTATGATAGACCGTGGCGACATAGAGTAAAAAAATAATTAAGTAGCACATATATCACTTGTGCCTATAGAACGATGGTGTAGGATCTCTTTGTAATTCTATCGTGTTATGAACCCCTCATATCCTCCACGAAAAACTACAGTGGGCAGGAAACAAGAAAAACAGGCGAAAGTGAGGCGTCCTACAGAAAGGCTATAAACCGAATAGTCTATTGGCAAAAGGTAAAATCTTGACCTGTAAAACAGTTCACAGCACTTTTATCAATCATACCAACTACTTCTGAAAGCATAGTAATTAAACTCTAGGGCTTAACATTGAAAGGAAGTGCCGCTTTATAGGTTACAAGGCTTTGGAGAACTTGTCTAGAGAAAGCAAAGTGCTTGTCCTTCTCCAAGCACTTATCGCCTGTTCGCTAACACTCCAGGGTGAAAAGAATTAGTCAACTTTAAGCTTTAGTTTGATATTAAATATTACCAGTACGTGTACATGTATAGCATTTCCTGTGACACATTTATCGTAGTGGCTAGAGGTACGCTGCAACACATACATGGTCGTTGGTCCGATTTCGCGCCGAGGGTAACTAATCCTCCATCGCTGCGGGATCGGTACATTGGCAGCAAATATGTCTGAGAAGATGAAACTCTAACTTGGTACATCAGTAGGTCTTGTTATTGTCCAAGACAAAGGTGAACTCGGTCAGCACTATGAAGTTACGAATGGAGTAGAATTCACAGCGCATCTATGAGGGATTGATCAACGTCGAACACTTTATCCTTTCATTATTTGGGATATTTTATAACACGATTCGCAACGTAGTTGTGTTTAGGTTTATAATTTTTGTGTAACCTTAGGAAATCGTATGTGTAGCTGTAGTTCACAACGTGATCTCAAACCAGTCAGAAGAGTACGAAATCCTTTAGAATATCATTTAAAACCACGCCATATTTCTGCACTTACCAAAATTATTTCAATCAATAATACAAAGATCTAGTCAAGGTGACTGTGAGACCTAGGTATACGACTTACTACCTTACTTTCTGGTTGGTCTCATTGAATCGCTAAGGCTGAAGTACGCATTTCAAATGAGGTTACGTCCTCTACTCCTAAAAATTCTATCGAAGTCTCTGGATTGTTTTCACATCAATGTCTTCGGATTGCATCGTACTATTTATAGTCTCGCTAATCTACCTACTTGCGGCAGATTCACGCTTAACCAGAGATGGCCACATAAAGAACTGTTTACCACCACCAACAGAGGTGAGTGTAAGGCCATTCCTTAACTCTAAAGTCAAAGTTTTGCCGTCGCTATTGAAATGTAGGTTTTTACAACATTCTTGCATCAGACCAGACAACTAACGACATGGAAGTGAGAGAATTGATCTATTCAGTTAAGATGTCGCTCTGTATCTTTTCTTACTCTGTTATTGAAAAGGAGACTTATTTCATGGAATTTTTCCCCAAATTGCCGACGGCGCCGTCGCTGTCAGAGACCTGTACCGACTTGCTGATAATATAATGCGCGGGGCAGGGTACATCTTCCTATTATGTACACTCTACAAAATTGATAAGTTAGAATTTCAAGTTCAAAAGCTCGAGCAGGACTAAACCCAGCAAAGCTTTTTCACTTGTCTATTGCTTTCCTAAAACGAAAGAAAAAATGGCTTCATGCGAAAAATATGGGGTACTTCGTTCATTGGGCAATCCGATGACCTCTGGGTAGCTTTCACATGCGACCTTGACAAGTGGAAACTCTAATGATGTCCATTTGAGTTATCTGATGATTGACAGAGTATTAACAACAGGTGATAGAAGTAAGGAAATTTCTGGAGTAAGAATGAGCAAAATTACTAATAGTAAAAAATCAATAAGATGGGAGCTTCTTTATTTTAAACAGTACTGCAAAGTTCCATGACACCTTCTCGTCTACACTTCTACTTGTTTTGCTATCTTTTCCTCAAAGTTTTTCTACCTCTTAACTCAGTTTATTAAGAAATTAATTAACAGGTCTCATATTTAAATCAGCCCTGAAGTCAGCTGTGGAGTTATTTGTCTGTGTGTTGTGCAAAACTAAGTTTAATCCGATGTAAGCTTGTTCTTTGCGAAAACTGTCAGTTAATACATTATCTTACAAACTGTTTGATAAGCTCGTCGTAGGTTTTCAAGTTATATTGTCAGATTGTTGATGTTGTCAGTTGTCAGTCCATGCATTACTTACGAAGACAGCGATGGTCACCAAACAATGGACCTCATGCATTGCGTTGCATTCCCATTCATATTTCGTTTCACTTACTCTAAAATAAAGTGCAGCTCAGTTCTACCTCTCGTAAGAGCATGGCTGGAGTGTATGGCTAAAAGCACGAATACTGCAGCATTAAATCGGCTATAGCTAGAAATGATATTAAGATGGTATAAAAATAATGGCCACAAACAAACTTAGAACTAGCTGAGAGACAGGCAAGGCGAAGGAACCGGATGGTGTGGTGGTGAAGTGCGCTGTTCCCCGGTAAGGACAACAGGGCGTGTTCGTTCCCCACTGCATACTCCTGCGGTCCGGAGTTTTGCGAATATCTCAGTATCATTAAAGTTATATTTCCCAATATACTATGCCTTTAAAAAGAGTAGGCAATAAATTTCCTGGGAATAACGCGTCCACCACCACACTATGCGGATCCTTCGTTCCGCCTGTCTCTCAGCTAGTTCTATCGATCTTTTGCCATCAGCAATCACCCGTCAACGGGATTGATCTGGTGAGCCCAACTCGGCAACGAACCCAGTTAAGCTGAGGCTATAGTTATAGTCAC